AGAATGGGAAGGATTGAGAGAGAATGAGAGACAGAATGAGAGAGAGAGATTGAGAGAGAATGCCGAGGTTGAGAGAGCAAAAGAGAGAGAATGAGAGGGAATGAGAAAGAGAGGATAAGAGAAAGAGGACGAGAGACAGAGGAGAGAGATTGAGAGAGGAGGAGGGGAGGGAGGGAGGGAGAGAAATTTCCAACGCTTCCTTACATTGGCTTGTAGACCACCTGAATGAAGCACTTCCGCTGAGGCCGAGTCCTCTGCCACCTCTTGGCCATCTCCACCAAGTGCCCGCCGTTCAAGAGCCCGTACCCGTAGTAGTGGCTGACTGGAAGGAGAAAGACCTGCTCAGGGAAACTGGCTCGGCCTTCAGATGCCCTCCAGGCATGCTGGCACCCCAAGGCCGCCCCACCATACGGACAGAGCAACGGGCTCCTTCCCCAGAAGAGGAACCGCCCTCCAGATACTGAGGAACTAGGGCTCTGCATAGCGTTGGCCGGCCTACAGGTAGTCTTCGACCTACGACCGTCATCGAGCGTTCTGGATGCAGGTAAGTGCAGGTAAGCCTTGGGATGTCCCATTCTTTTGATGTGGTCAAAAGAGTCAAGAGGGCAGCCAACAACAGGGCCCTGGAAGTGCTGCCTGTTTTTATTTTATTTTATTTTATTATATTTTATTTTACTTTATTATATTCTATTTTACTTTATTATATTCTATTTTACTTTACTTTATTACTTCATTTTATTGATTTTATTTTATTTCACTTTGTTTTATTGTATTGGTTTTTTAATTATTTTATTTTACTTCATTATATATTACTATTTATTTGATATTTTATTTTATTTTCCTTTATTATTTTATTTTATTTATTTTATTTTATTTCACTTTGTTTTATTTTATCATTTATTTTATTTTACTTTATTATATATTATTATTTATTTGATATTTTATTTTATTTATTTTGCGTTCTTTTACTTTATTATTTATTTGGTATTTTATTTTATTATTTATTTTTACTGATTTGCTTTATTATATTATTTATTTGATATTTCCTTTCCTTTTATTTTATTGACTGATTTTATTTTACCGTGACTTTATTTTATTACTTATTTGATGTTTTATTTCATTTTATTATTTTATCAACAAACACACATTTTATAGGCCACCTGGCAACTCTAAAAAAGACCACAGAACTATTTACACAAGGTACGATGTGCCTCGTAGAGAATAGATAGAGCGTCCGTTTATTCGTTCGTTCGTTCATTCGATTTCTATAGTTGCCCATCTCAGTCAAAGACGCTGGGCGCTTCACAATTCCAAAATATATCTATTACAATCAAAAATGCTAAAAAAGCCCCATTGTATTAGTTAACAATAAAAACAAGAGGAGCATCCAAAATAAATATACCCACAGCAGCGGAGACCGTTGGCAAGTTAGCCATGCAGCCAGGGGAAATGGGGCCCTTGACACATTTGTGGTCCCAAACTGGGACCCCCTGGTTTTTTTAGGGACTTATGAAAATAGGGTTGGGGGCCGTTGGGGGCTGTTCTGACCTCCGAAGGGACGGCGTTCCCTAGAGGAGGGCCAGAAAAAGCCCAGTTGGACCAAAATTTTGTGGCTGCCATCTTAATTCTTTTGTTGCTGTTAACCTCCGCCCCCCAAAAACAGGGGTGGGCTGCTGGGGGTTCGCAGGAGTTCGGGAGATCCTCTAGCTAAGATTCTGTGCAGTTTGGAGAACACCCCCCCCCCCAAATCCCACTCCTGGCTGGCCCCACCCACCCCTCCCCTCCCCGGAGTCCCCATGTGGCCCGTTCTGGATGCAGGTAAGTGCAGGTAAGCGCGCACGGAGGCTCAGGGAGGGCTGAAAATGGGCCTCCTGGAAGCTTTGGAAGGCCGGAAATGGGCCCGTTTCCGGCTTCCGAAGAGCCTCCGAAGTTCGGGGAGAACATTTTCACCCTCCTGGAGGCTTGAGAAAATCCTCCGGAGCCTGGGGAGGACAAAAACGCCTCCTCCCCCCCCCCCCCCCCCTGTGGGCCAGGAGGCCGCCCCGGCCACGCCCCCCATGGCCAAGCCCACCCAGCAAACGGGCAGAGACCCCGTTGCTAAAATTTTTGAAGCTCCCCCCGCTGCCCCCCCCCTCCAAGGTCTCCACAGCCTTCCCCACCTGATAGCGGTAGGCCCTGCCCGGACAACGGTTGGGGCCCAGCCTCACCTTGGCGCCCAACTCCATTCCGGACCCAGTCGTCCGCCTGCAGGTGAGCGGGGCTGGAGGCTCTCACCACTAGGTGCTGCATGTCTCTCCAGGTCAGAGCTGGGCTAGAAGCACAAAGGGGGAGGGGCGGAGGGGGAGAGAAAACCAAGAAAACTTTTGCTATAAAGTGTGTCCTGCAAGGTAAGGGGGGCAGGTCCCTCAGGTTCCTCTGCCAATTGGGTCTAGTGACAAAGGCACCAGGCTAGAAAGCAGGAGGTCGTGAGTTCTAGTCCCATTCAGAACTCCCGAAAGCTAGCTGAACGACTGGACTAATCCCCAGGAGACGGGGAGTTCTAGTCCCACCTTAACCACGAAAGCCAACTGGGTGACTTTGGGCCAATCCCCATGAGATGGGGAGTTCTAGTCCCACCTTAACCATGAAAGCCAACTGGGTGACTTTGGGCCAATCCCCAGGAGACAGGGAGTTCTAGTCCTGCCTTAACCACGAAAGCCAACTGGGTGACTTTGGGCCAATCCCCAGGAGACAGGGAGTTCTAGACCCACCTTAACCACGAAAGCCAACTGGGTGACTTTGGGCCAATCCCCAGGAGACAGGGAGTTCTAGTCCTGCCTTAACCACGAAAGCCAACTGGGTGACTTTGGGCCAATCCCCAGGAGACAGGGAGTTCTAGTCCCACCTTAACCACGAAAGCCAACTGGGTGACTTTGGTCCAATCCCCAGGAGACAGGGAGTTCTAGTCCTGCCTTAACCACGAAAGCCTGCAAGGGTAAGTCCATCTCCCTCAACCCAACCCACCTCACCGGGTTGTTGTGAGAAAAAGAAGTGGAGGGTGTGTTGGATATGTTGGTCACCTTGAGTTGTCAAAATAATAAAGACGGGATAACGTAGCGTAGCATAGCATAACAATGCAACGCATCGTAACACAACACAAGCTCAGCTACGAAACCAGCATTTGGGACCTTCTCTGTTCCTTCACCCAGTTCCCTTCCAGAAGGCCAGTTTAGGCCAGTGGTTTTCAAGTTCGGCCACTTTAAAACATGCAGACTTCACCTCCCAGAATTCCCCACGAACCAGCAAAGCTCCCCTAACAGGCACTTACTTGGCCTCCAAAGCCAGGGCAATCAGGCCAGCTGCGAGGGGAGCCGAGGCGGAGGTGCCCGTATGACCGCTTGTGCAGGTGTGACGCAGATCGGTGGTCACCTGGAGAGAGAATCAAACAACATTGACGGGGCCGACGTTAAGGCCCTGGTTCCACTTAAGCTTCTAGTCCTCAAGGGTAGGACTACATGTCTCCTTTCCCTGGCCTGGTCAGCGGCTGGGCTGCCATCCCGCTCTTCCTTCCACCGTCCTTCTTCCTCCAATGATTGCGTAAGGCTAACTGCCCGTCACTTTCTCCGTTTTTTTCTTGAATGACAAACTGCTGGGGACCTTCTACCGCTGCACCATAGAGGGTATCTGAACTTACTGCACTTCTGTATGGTTTGCCAATTGCACGGTGGCAGATAGGAAAGCACTCCAGAGGGTGAACGTCATTGCCCAGAGGATCACGGGTTGCTTTCTCCCCTCTTTGGAAGAGCTTTAGAGCTCCCGCTGCTTTAAGAAAGTTCAAAACATCCTCAAAGATCCATCTCATCCTGGGCACCCTATTTTTTTTTTTTTTGAACTATTACCATCTGGCAGACGGTACAGAATAATAGTAAAAACAAGGACAAATAGGCTGAAAAACAGCTTCTATCCCAGGGCAAGTAACTCTCTTGCATTCTACTTAATGCAATATGAATGCAATGTCAGGGGTTTTCAGTTCAATTGTATAAAATGCGAAGGATTTTTTAAAAAATCCTTTGGTGGGAAGGTAACAGCGTTCCGTGCGCCTTCAAAGGCGTTTAGTCATGCCGGCCACATGATCACGGAGACGTCTTCGGACAGCGCTGGCTCTTCTTTGGCTTTGTAAATGGAGATGAGCACCGCTCACTGGAGCCGGGAACGACTAGCGCGGATGTGCGATAGTTTTCCCACTAGGATTCCAAGGTCCCTCTCACAGCGACTGCGTTTGAGCCAGGTTTCGCCTAATCTGTACTTGCCCCTTTGGCTTTGGCCTAGCCCAGCTGGCTTGTTATCTTTCAGGTACCTTTCCCCTTTTCAGTGGAGAGGGAAGATACGATCCCCTTGCCTGCCTGCCTGCCTGCCCGCCCCTCGTCCGAGAGCCTCACAATCTGCTTCTCGCCCTTGGCCCCGCTGCTGTAGGTGGCGGTGAGGGTGGAGGCACAGGCCTCGGTGTACCACGGCACCCGGCCGCTCTCGGTGGTGCTGCCCACGGATAAGGTGTAGATGCTGTTGGTGTAGCCGTCACAATTGCAGTTGTCCTTCCGGAGGCCGCCGTTCCCGGAGGCCCAGACGAAGAGAGAGCCCAGCCCTCCGCGTCCCTGCGAGAAGGAAGGAAGGAGGATCTCCCGTCAAAGGCAGGAAGTCCTCGGCTTACAGCGGTTCATGTAAGTGGCTTGTTTTTCACCTTTACCGACATTGCAGCGTCCCCCAGGGGATTAAAATTTAATATTTGTGACAGTTTCGAGCCGCTTATGGGTCGCTCTGGGTTCAGCTCCAGTTTAACAAGGGAACTTGTGCTGCCATCATCCGGCAGAACAGATGGACCTTGGACAATTCCCCACGGCCAACTTGCCGTGGGACACAAGCCACGCGACGTCAAAGAAACGGCGGGATAGACTCGTGAAAGGAAGGATGCAAAAGGAGGGACGAAAGAAAAGGTCTGTAAAAATGATTGTCAAGAAAGTTATCGAATTGTCCCAGGGGAAGTTGGCCATGGTGAGTTGGCTAAAGCAATAGCAGGTAGACTTGTATACCGCTTCCCAGTGCATTTACAGCCCTCTCTAAGCGGTTTACAGAGTCAGCCTATTGCCCCCAACAATCTGGATCCTCCTTTTAATGATCTTGGAAGGACAGAAGGCTGAGTCAATTTGGAGGCTGGTCAGGATTGAACTACTGGCACTCAGCAGAGTTAGCCTGCAATCCTGCATTCTGAACAATGTGCAACATGGAAAGGAAGGAAGGAAGGAAGGAAGGGAGTGAGTGAGTAAGTGAGGGCAATAACAATAGCACTTATATACTGCTTCACAGTGCTTTACAGTCCTGTCTAAGCAGTTTACAGAATCAGCCTATTGTCCCTTCCTTCCTTCCTTCCTTCCTTCCTTCCTTCCTTCCTTCCTTCCT